ACGCCAGTTTCCAACCGTCCTCCATCCGAAACCGAGACATCGCAATCCAGGAACGTCAACCTGCCATTTTTTACATCCTCTBGTGTGAACTTAATATATTCATCCACAGAGTTGATATTATCAGTGAAATGTTGGACTTCCTGGGCTTTAATTTTAACCCAGGTGTCGTCAACATATCTGAACCCTGGAAGTTGTTTTAGGCTTTCTGGTTAATAGCGTAGGCTTGGTGGCCAAAGGGAATTTCAGGAGGATGCCCCAAGTGCTATAAAATGTATGATTGTTGCAGTTATTGTTATGAGCAGCTGAAAAGGCCAGTGTCAGTGATGGAGTTGATGCAGAGGGACCAACCCATTCTCACTCCCAACTCATCAACATATTGATGCTTGGTCAGGTCTGTGTCGGTTTTGACCTGTCGGGTACCCCCTACGCGTCAGTTCTTTATGAGATGAGGCGGAGGAGGACGAGCGCGTTGTCATATTTTTTAAGAGTAGGAAATGCACAAAACTAACCATCCCAGACCCACAATTTAACTTCTATTAGCCCTATACAGCCTATCCCTGACCTCAGTACCTAAAATTAACCATTAATCCTGATCCCTCATGTTAACCTCAGACCCCCGACCCAAAGACTCCTAAGTGACGCAACCCGGAAAAGCCCCAGGCGGCAAGGATTGATGTGAGGGGGGTACCCGACATGTCAAAACTGGACACAGACGGTCCCTGACCAATTGTCAACATGTTGACGAGTCAGGAGTGAGAGCTTGTTAGAGGGACAGGATGATGTAGTCATAGGAGTGACGAGGAGTGGGGAGGAGATAGAAGAGGAGGAGAGGAAACAGGAAATTCAGCTGCTTGCAGATACTCAAGTTTGTACTTTTACAAGCTTGTTAATATTTTATTTTCAAAACTTCTGAGTCACTGTTCTCAGCTTTCTGTGCTCCATGTTCAGTGTTAAGGGTTCACTGTGATACCTAACAGCCCTGTGACTAATTTTCACCCTCTTCCAACAGACAGCAAGTTTACAAACTGAGGACACCTGTGATGTTGATTACAGGACAGACCTTAGTTTAAAATGTCCCTGTGGTCAAATACGTTTCAAGCTTTTATAGAGGTACCATCTTTTGTCAAGACAAGTTTTATTGGTTTCTACGTCTACAACTAACTTTTAGAATCGGCATCATTGAAGATGGCTACCATGGCTAATGAACTGTAGCAAAAACAAAATCTGGTCAATTTTACAGATAATTTTTTAAGATTTGTTGTGGTAGTAGCTGAGAGTCATTCATGACACAGACTATGATTTCATACTGATTGTGTAAGATATTTGGTGTGCAACACAGCAAGTACATGCTACTTTCATATTTTGACAAAATTTGAGGTGACTTGATTTTTACTCTGAGTTCTGTTAGAAAAATCTGTATTTTTAGCTTTCTGTGTTTTCATTAGTTTACCAGCAGTTTACTAACATTGGGCCTCATGCAAGAACCGTTCGTACGCACAGATTTGTTCTTAAATTGTGCGTACGAGTGATTGAGGAGAATTTGTGGCATTCACCAATGTTTTCGTATTCTAAGATTTTTTTCAGATACGAACAAAATTTACGTGTGGTCCAGACCTGTCGTATATTTTAC